GTTTGTTTCTTGGTCTGCTGTGCTATTTTGTATTTGTTTGTTTTTTTGTTGCTTTATTTTTCTATTCGTTAGCTGTTCTCTGCTGCCTCTTTTCTTTGTTTCTTTTGTGTGTGTGTGTGTGTGTTTATCTATCTCTCTCTCGCTCTCACTCTCCTTCCTTCCTCCCTCCCTCCTCCGTCCCTCTCTCTTCTCCCTCCCTCCTTCCTCTCTCATCCCTACGTTCCATCCTTTTCGTCCTATCCCCCCCCTCCCTCCCTCTATCCTTGTCCTTCGCATTTCTTTATTGATTCATCCTTTTCCACCCTGGCCCTTTTCTATTTATCCTTCCCCCCTTTTCTCTTCTCTTTTATGTAGTCTTGTTTATGTTTTTCGTCTCGTGCCAAGTGGAGGGAGAAGGGAGGAAGGTGGAAGAGGGAGATGGTAGAGGGGAAAGGGAGATGAGGATGAGGATAAGGGAGAGGATGAGGGACGGAGGTGGGGGACGGAGAGGAAGATTATGAGGATGGAGAAGTAGAGGGGAAAGGGAATGAGGATGAGATAAGGGAGAGGATGAGGGACGGAGGTGGGGGACGGAGAGGAAGATTATGAGGATGGAGAAGTAGAGGAAGAGAAAAGAGAAGAGAAAAGAAAAGAAAAGAAAAGAAAAAGAAGAGAAAGAAAGAGAAGAGAGGAGAGGAGAGGAGAGAAGAAGAAGAGAAGAGAAGAGAAGAGAAGAGAAGAGAAGAGAAGAGAAAGAAGAGAAGAGAGAGAAGAGAAAAGAAAAGAGAGGAGAGGAGAGGAGAGGAGAGAAGAGGAGGGAGAGGAGAGGAGAAGAGAAGAGAGGAAGAGAAGAGAAGAGAAGAGAAGAGAAGAGAAGAGAAAGAAGAGGAAGAGAAAGAGGAAGAGGAAGAGGAAGAGGAGAGGAAGAGGAAGAAGGAAGAGGAAGAGAAGAGGAAGAGAAAGAAAGAAAGAGAAAAGATGGAGGATAAAGGAGAAATGATTGAAGAAAGAGAGAGGGAAGGGAGAAGGAAAGTGAACACGAAAAGACCCATGATAGATTTTAAGTGACGACGACGACCGCAGGGAGGCAAGCGCGGAGAAGGGGAGTGGAGGGAGACGGGAAGGAGAAGGGGCGAGGGGAAGGGGAAAGCGGAGGGAGAGGGGAAGGGGGTGTGGGAGAGATAAAGGGGAAGGGAAGGGGAAGGGAAAGGTGAGAGGGGATGCGATAGAGAAAGGGGAAAGGGATGGCGAGAGGGGAAATAGGAGGGAGAGGGGAAGGGGGATGAGAGAGATAAAGGAGGAAGGAAAGGGGAAGGGGACGGCGAGAGGGGAAATAGGAGGGAGAGAGGAAGGGGGATGAGAAAGGTGAAGGGGGAAGGGAAGGGGAAGGTGAGAGGGGATGTGTGAGAGAAAGATGGAGGGGAAGGGGAGAAGAGGAAAGAATAGGGAGAGGGGAAGGGGGAGGAAAGAGAGAAGGGAGAGGGGAAGGGCAAGGTTGGAGGGGATAGGAGAAGGAGAAGGAAAAGGGGAGGTGAGAGGGGAAAAGGAAGGGGGATATGGGAGAAAAGGGGAGGGGAAGAGATATGTAAGAGCGGAAAAAAAGAGGGTGAGGGGAAGGAGAAAAGGGGAGGGGAAGGGATATGTAAGAGGGGAAAGAAAGAAGGAAAGGGAAAGGAGAAAAGGGGAGGGGACGGGGAATGTGAGAGAGGAAGGGGAAGGGGAAAGGGAGAAGGAAAGAGAGAAAAAGGGGAAGTGGAATGTGAGAGGCGAAGGGGAAGAGGAGAGAGGAATGGTGCTCCTTGACCTCAACTTCAGTCACAGAGGAAGAGCGGCCTGCGTGCCTGGCGAAAGGAGCATGCAGCCTCCCCTGGCACCCTGGCACTCGCACATGTTAACGAGGAAGGCACTCTTGCTTACTGTCCTGGCACTGGCTGGATTAGACGCTGAAAAGAGGCTTATGTCTTTTGTAATTCGAATTTTTTATTTTCGTAATATTAGTTGTATTACATTTTTTAAATAATTTTTAAAATGAATATTATTGATGTCGTTATTGTTTTAGTTATTGTTAGATTACTGTTATTATTGTTCTTGTTCTTGTTTATGCTGTTTTATTGTTATGTTTGTGGTTAATTAATATTAATATTATTATTGTAATTCTTTTTAGTGTTATTATTGTTACTATTATTATTATTATTATTATTATTATTATTATTATTATTATTATTATTATTATTATTATTATTATTATTATTGTTTCTTTTACGATTGTTAGTTATTTTTATTTATTTTTTTGTTTTTGTTTTTATTTGCATTATTGTTGTTGTATTAATTATAATTATCATTTCTGCTTTTCTACTTACAATTGTTATTTTTTTATTGTAATTATTATTATTATTATTATTATTATTGTTATTATTATTATTATTATTATTATTATTATTATTATTATTATTATTATTATTATTATTTACATTGATTTTGATGATGATGATGATGATGATGATTATTACCATTACCATTATGACTATTATTGCCAATATGATTTTGATTACTACCATTATTATTATTATTATTATTATTATTATTATTATTATTATTATTATTATTATTATTATCATCATCATCATCATAATTTTGCAATGTCTGATACAGGGACAAAGTGTATTCATATGGAATTCAGACGTAGTAAATGTGCTAAAGTAAAAGTGGAAAGTTGGTCTAAACTTGGAAATTCCATTTACCGCCGCCAGGGGAGCAAATGAAAGGATTAGATTTAGGTGAAACGTATGAATAATTAAGGATTCATCAGTCAGACGAGATGATGCGATTAAGATCTATCTTAAAATCTAGATTTCGTCGGAGTAATCAAATAACTGTAATTAACAGCTTTGCAGCACCAGCAGTAACATACGAAGCAGGAATGACTGAGTGGAACAAGGAAAAAACATCGGCTAGTGGAAACGAAAGCTTTAAAACCATCACAATATAAAGCCGCGGTCACACTAGTCTTCTCTGCCCTGGGATCCCGAGACAGCCTCGCCAAAGAGAGATCAGCTGACCAATCAAAAGCTGTAACTGGGCGGACTTCGGCGAGGCTTTCGAGGGATGACAGAGAAGACTGGCGTGACCCCAGCATAAGGCGCTGCACCCAAGAGCCGGTGCAGATAGGCTATGCACTTCGAGAAAGAAAGGCGGAAGAGGACTTGTAAAATTGGAAGACTTGGTGGCTGTGGAGATTACATTTTTAGTAATGTACACACAAGTCAGGAACCGCTAATGGGAAATGGCCATGGAAGGGTTTCTGGTCAAGTATGTCAAAAACTCATAAAAAAGCGGCTCCATAAGGGAAGGAAACAAAGTTGAGAGACAAATCCTTGCACGGAAAAAAAAAAAATCTTACAAGCATCACACCTCAGACCTGTAACAGAATTGCTAGTTAATGTCGAACAAGATCGGGCACAAAGCACAAACTAGCATGCACATCACATCCTGAAAATACAATCCTCTGATAAGTGTAGAGTTTGTATAAAATGAAATAAGAACTATAGGGTCCATTATAACTGGACGTCCTTAATTAGCCCAGATTGTGTACCTGGAAACACGTCTGGGTGGCGACAACAGTGAATGAGTTTATACAAAGCATTGGGTTTTTAAACAACAGAAAATGGGTGGGAACAATAAACAGAAACATTACTAGACACAAAAAGAAAAAGACAAATTGTTCCTTGATTACTAACATCATTACTAACAGAAGAATCACAGCGAGAGGGCCAGATGTTTTTGATTGTTCACAAAACGAGACCAGAGATTAAGAATGATTCCCCAGCGGATAGGAATACTGAATTGAAGGAATGAAAGAAAGAAAAAAATCGACAAAATACCAGGTTTAGACAAGACCAGCATCGAACATAGAAAAAAACTAGTTTGCATAACGTTCACCAAAAATCTAGGGAAGTTCCTCTTGATATTGAACATTAAGGACATCAGTATGAACAAGTTTCGAAAGATTTGATGAAAATCAAACACAACCAGGAGACATCTTGATTTCCTACCGTCTTTTTGAATTTGAAGCCAAGAAGAAATACAACCCTACACTAAATTGAGTGATACGTGTATACAGTGATGATAAAGATATTAATAATAAGGGTGATGAAAATAATAATGATGATCATGATAATAATGATAGTTATGATAATGATAATAATAAAAAGAATAATAATGATAAGGATATTTATTATAAGGAGAACGATAACTATAATGATAATAATAATAATGATGATGGTAGTGATGATACTAGTAATGACAATGATAGTAATGAAAATAATTAAAAATATGATAATGGTAAGAATGACAATAGTAATGATATTGATAATAGCAATGATAATGATAATAATAATGATAATGATAATGAATTATGGTGATTATATTAATTATAATGATAATAATAATGACAATGATAATGATAGTAATTGTAATAATAATAATAATGGTAATAATAATAATGATTATCATTATTATCATCAACATCATTGTTATATTATTTTTCCACCGCAAAGACTCGAAAGGTTAACTGCCTACCTCCGTCGTGCCAGAGTATTAGTGCGGTTCGTTGTGTCGTATCGTCGCATCGACCAGAAGGCGCGGAAGGGGGAAGGAGTGGGAGAGGGAGGGACGAAAGAGGGCAGGGTGGGAGAGGGAGATAGAGGGAGAGGGAGGGAGGAGAGGGGGCATGGTAGGAGAGGGAGATAGAGGGGGTGAAGGGAGGAGGGGGGCAGCTGTTATCGTATGAACAAGTCAGGTCGTTTTGCCAGTTGGATTATGCTGCCTCCATTTATGGGGGAGGGAGGTAAGAGGGGAGAGAGGGGAAGGGAGGAAGGGCGAGTGGGAGGGAGAAGGAAAGGATGGGGGAGGAAGGGAGATTAGGAGAGAGAGGGAGAAGGGAAGAGTGAAGGAGGAAGGGAGAATGGGAGAGGGAAGGAAAGATGAAAAAGGGAGGAGGGAGGGAGGAAAAGAGATAGCATAGGGACGGGAAAGAGAGAGGGAAGGAGGTAGGAAGAGGGAGACGAGGGAGAGGGAGGAAATGGATGTAAGGGAAGACAAAGAAGAGGAGAAGCACGCCAGTTAGGGACGAAGGAAAAGGGGAGAGGTGGAAGGGGGGAAAGGACGGAACAGGATCGGGAGAAAGGGAAAGGAATAAACGGAGAAAGGATAAAAAACGGAGATAGTAAGAACGAGACAGAGAAGAGAAGAGAAGAGAAGAGAAGAGAAGAGAAGAGAAGAGAAGAGAAGAGAAGAGAAGAGAAGAGAAGAATAGAGAAGAATAGAG